GGCGAGAGCTCAATTTTCTTTTATAAACTCTTCCGGAGAACAAGGAAAAAACAATTTTCAGTTCTTTGTATGAAGACATTTTAACATTAATACCAAACTTTGACAAGGGTAGAAAATTATAGACCGTTTCTCTCTTGAACACAGATGCAAAAATCCTAAATACTGCAAAATAAATTTAGAGATATACAGAAACAATAATGTAACTAAGTAGGGTCTGTATTAGTAAAGCTCAGGGTGAGGCGGGGGAGCAGGGCTGGATAGGAAGGGATTAACACTATGAAACTTATCAGTTAACTCACCGGACTAACACATAAGTGAAAAATAATTTGATCATCTCAATAGATTCAAGAAAAACATCTGACAAAATTCAACGCCAGAAATCCTCTTAGCAAACTATTAACATAAATAAAAGGGAACTTCCTTAAACTCATGAATAGCATAAAAATCCTACAGCGATGACCAGGCTCACTGGTGACATCTGAATGCTTTCCCCAGAGATCAGGAACAAAGAAAGGAATCCCACTCTGACCACTTCTGTTCAACATTGTACTGGATATTCCAGCCAGTGCAGTAAGAAAAGAAAGAAAATGCAAAATGACTGGAAAAAATAAAGGTCACATGAACAGAAGATATGAGCATGCAAAACATTCCAAAATAATTCACAAATTGTTAGCATTCATAAGTGAGTTGATAAAGGTTGCTAGATACAGGTCATTATTAAAACCAATTGTATTATTTCAATACTGTAGCAACAAATAGTCAACAAAAGACCTGAATAGACACTTCATAAAAGAGAGGATCCAAATGGCCAGCAAGTATTTGAAAAGATGCTTAAGCACTATTAGTCATTATTGAACTTGAAATTAAAATCACAGTAAGATACCAGTATGCACTTACCGCAACGTCTGAAATAAGGAAAATACTAGGCTGACTAGCTGTAGAGGAGGGTTCTGAGAGAGCCGGTTCCTCCCTTAGCTTTATTACATTTGGGGGGTGGGGGGTTCCTGAGGTATGTTTCTGGACTACCACATCCCTTAACTATAGGGACTGGGTCCCCAAAATAAGACAAATGCAGTAACTTGTATTTGTTTCCTGTTATAACAAATTACAACAAATTCATTATCTCACAGCTCTGAAGGGCAGAAACCCAGAATCAAGGTGTTGGCAGGCACCACTTCCTCCGAAGGCTCTCGGGGAGAATCCCCGTCTTGCCCCTCCAGTTCCTGGCGCTGCAGCACAGGCTGCACGACTGGTCTGCATTTCCCTCTGCTGCCTTCACGCTGCCGCCTTCTCTGTCTGTGCTGCCTTCCTTTGCGTCTCTCTCATAAGGACACTTGTGATGGTATGTAGGCCCCTCAGATAACCTAAAGTAATCCTATCTCAAAATGCTTAGTTTAGTTACATCTGCAAAGATCCTTTTCCCACATAAAGTACCATTCACAAGTTTCAGGGATTAGGGTTTGATATTTTTGTTTAGTTGTTACTCAGCCTGCTACATTGGCATTTAACACATTTCCTAAATTACAAAATGAGCTAGTGAGACCGGGAAGATGGTCAGGGGAAGGAAAGGCTGGGAAGACCTGGTGTGTTAGGAAGAGGGGAATTGGGAGAAGGCAGAAGCCTGAGCTATCAGGGGAGTCGGGAGTCGCCCTCGCTACGCACAGCAAGACTGGGGGATTTACAGAGGTGTGGTGGAGCAGAATTTCCTCCTTTGCCCGGGACCTGATCCCATAAAAGCAAAGGCTGTATTTGCATATATGGCCCAAGGAGGGGGCACCGTGCACGCTGGGACAGACCCAGCTAGCTGCCCATTATCTATTCTCTCCATCTTCTCTGAAAAGAATCCTGATTTTGTTAGGAACATCAATTGCTCAGATAAAACAGATCATTGCTGAGATTCCCAGGCAGCTACCATCATAAACACAGTTCTGACTAACAGAAATATGCAAGTGAAGCTTGGGGAAAAGCTATTGTTTTGCTAATAAAAAGGGACACACACACATTTGCACCTTTTCTCCTAAGCCATTCCTTCCCCTCCTTCCTGAACGCTGAGGTGATGCCCTGAGATGTAAACGCTGAGTCCGGACGGCATCTGGAGTTGCTGTGTCAGCCCTGGACAGCCGGCTCGCAGACTTTTCTGTTACAGGAAGAAAAAAAAAACAACAACAAGCCCTAGTGGGGTTTAAGCCACAGTTATTTGGTTTGCAGTCAAACACTATCTTTTTAACCTAAACAACAGCTAGGTGTTTCACAGATTCTGTATGATCAGTAAGTATACCCCTCCCATTTCTCTGGATACTTAAAAAATAAGGCGTTCACACCAACATGGATCGGAAACTGGCACTCTCAAATGACTGGGTGTAGCTGTTCCAGCTGTTCCACGCATTCGCAATACAGTGCAGAGAGGGTTAATGTAGATTCTTTATTGATTCCACCAATGTATTAGTAGATATGATAATAATAAATGGTACTTTTACATTCTTTTAACCAAAAATATAACAAATATTTACACTCAGTAAAAATACAAAAAGCATACAGAGGCACTGTCTTTCTAAAAGACGTAAGTTTAAGAGGTATCAAAAAATAGGAGACAAACATTGCTTGTTACAGGTTGCGTTACAATCAATGAATTGTGCAGTATAATTGCTATTTGATTATTACAACTGTGCAGTTTTGCTTTTGTCTTTTGCTGATTGATAAGCTTACATGTTTCAATTTTAAAAGATCAACTGCATTCTGTGTATCAAAAATAAAGAAGCCTTAAAAATGCACAACAAAAGCTGAAGATGAACTGGGTTCAAGTTTAAATCTGAAAACGTACTGTGACACTTTTCTGAAGATTTATCCCTTTTTTCCAGCCTTTAAGGTAATGCTAAAAGAATACATAAACTTTAACATCACATTTTTTTTTAAAGAAACTTAGAATATCAATTATTGTTTTAACTATACTAGGAAACTTTTCCTCCTCCCTTTTCTGCAGGGGTAAGAATACTTCCTAAAGCTCAGGCTTGTTCTTAGAAACCCCCATGATCCCCGTCACGTTTCGACCTGGGAGAGACGCTCGGGGGTGACGTATATGATGATAATGTGACTTGCCACCCTCATGAAATCCATTAAAGACTTTTTCTCCCCAAAGATCATACTGAAAGTAATCATGTGGAGTAAACAGAGTCTATTAATTATAATAAACTTTTATGGAAGCATGTATTGGATTTACTAATTCTCCAAATCTTTTATTATGAAGAGATTTTGTTGAAACTTACTATTTGGCAAAAGTTTTGCACTGAGGGTTTACTAATTCAATAATCTTGGCAGATTTAGAGTTGTCGTGGGGACAGAGGGCACTCATCTCTTTGTTAAAATTGTAAATTTATAAAATAAAAACAAAACAAATGGGGATTTGGAATTGGAGCAAATACAGGTTAAGGCTTCTGTTTTTCTAGTCACATGACAAACTAAGAGAAGGCAGGAATGTACCCTAAATTAAAATATAACAATCAAAACCTCATGATTTTTTAGGGGACACATACATACCAAACCACAAAGCATTTGGCTTTAGTTCCTGATCAATGTGATCAGCTGGTCCAAACACCCACAGTTAAAGTTGGATAAAGCAAAGGCAGCTACAAGGCCCAAGTCCAAAACCACAGGCCTCAACTCTCTGCGCAAGATATTATTTACAGCTTTTACACCATTAAGGACAAAGACAGGTAAGGCTTCCATTTGGTTTGAAAGACCTGCTAAATAAAGACACTGTGCAAACAGCACATTTTTCTGAAGTAATGGATATAAAAAAGTGAGAACAGACAGCCAAACCTGATAAAAAGGTAGTTATAGCAAAAATATCTTTCACTTTGTTTTGCTGTGGACATAAAAACGACAATGATGTAGATCAGTGAAGAAAAGAATCCGTAATCGGAGGACCACTGTTTATAAGCCAAATCACTGCAGTGTGACTTTCAAACCAGGATTTTTGGTTCCGGCTGCTTTCCATTTCAAAGGACCGAGAAAGCTACGGAACCACCTAGCCTCATTCTCACATTCCTGGGCTTCATTTCTAAGGCTTAAATTTTAGACAAATGTTTTCTCCCCGGGGGAGTTTGTCAGACTTGCTCTTTTTCCTAAAATGAAGAGACAATCATTTTGATAGGCAAGATGAACCACTACCATTTACTACTTCAAACTGATGTATGGTTTTAACATGAAGGGGACAGGCAGGAAGACAGAGAAAGGGAGGAGTCAGCCAGGAAAGAGAACAAACTCCAACAAAGGAAGTCACAGACCAACTAAACCTACACGGACACGTGTGGACCACCACGCAGAAGTAAACCCTTTCTGGCTTCAAGTTGATCTGGGCAGTGAACATTAATGGCTTTGGCTTTTTCTTTTTTTGGTAATCACAGAAGTTTATTAAAATCTCTCTTGCCTTCACGCTAAAAGACAAATGAAAAAATTTAAACTTAATATACAGAAAAACATTATATTTGTAAAAACATGAAAAATCTACCTCTCCAGTAAATAGTCACTGGAATTTTAATTACTTAAATTAAGAGGGCCAGGCCCGAGAGGACGGAAAGGTATGTCCTCTTAAGGACTAAACTGAGAACCAAGAGACAATCATTTCTATCATTCTAGCTCCTCTTTCTCCCACAGCGTTTTACTGCAGGTGGCTGAGAGCGGCAGGGCTCATCGAGACAGGGCACAACCTGGTGCTGAGCTGTGGGGAGACGCTGGGGACCACCGCATGAGGTCAGATTCACGATTACAGCACGATTACGACACCGTGAGTACACTTCCTTTATCAACAGAACTCACACTTGAGTTGTCGGAAATTTTAGTTTTCAGTTTTCCACAGTGTACAACTCTCTAGAACCCATTCTCTATTTATTGGATTTATACTTGCAGTTATAATGCAACATAACTATTACTTCAGAAAGAATGTGTATACACGTCACTTAACATCAAAATTTCACTCTTCGGAAATCAGGGTTCTGAGCCTCTCCCTCCCTAACCCTCTCCTTTCCCAAAGGACAGAAACTCTATGGCAGCTTCGCTGGCCCCCACACCCACCCACAACCATCACGTTTCTAACACCTCCGACTCCACTCAAACCGAGACCCTGTCTTGCCCGGTGCTACAGATCAAGTTATGTGTCTGTACAGACCGAGCATATCTTCTCTGCAAAGATGACTTCTGTTTGGACAGACCAGAGACAGTTTTATGTCCTCAAACATAAGTATCAGCTAACAAGGGTTCCCAAATACAAACAAAACCACAACACTTCAAATAATAAGTTACTTTTCAAACACACAAGAATATCCTTGGTATTGGCAGACATGTTGAATCTGTCCTTTAGCCCAAGCTATGGCTTGGAAACAATAATGCCCTATCTCTAACATAACCTGATAAAGGAAAATCTATAGTGATATACATGGAGATGATTGAGTTTAAATTTCTTCTGTAACTGTGGTCCCAGGGCAGGTCTGGCGTGCACAGTGGGGACTGGGCTGTGGGCACAGCATCCAGAGCTGAGGAACTGCTCAAGGGCAGGAACTGCAGGGAAGGAAGCGTGACCCAGGCCTGTCTCACTGCTCAGAGCACAGGTCACGAAACCTCCAGATCAGCGGTGGCAGCGGCGCGCCGTTTGCTGGCAACAGCCTGCGGAATCATGAGGTGGTCCTGCCCACTGCTCCAGGACTTTCCGTAGTCTCCAAATGCATCGTCCAAAAGCTAGACTGCCGAAACTTGTTCATTTTCTGAAAATAATAAAAACACGATTAACTGGCAGATCAGCATATTAATGAAGACCAACTAATAATTTAGTTATCTGTTCAAAAATGAGTCTATTTCAACAAGGAAATTCCCTCAAACATTGCATCAAGGCCCAGATTTTACTGTAATGACATTTATGATTTCTGATCACACTGAAGGTTGACAACAGAAATTTCATAAATTGTTCTTAATCACTTTATTACTCTATTGCTTAAACGGATAAAACTTCAACCACTTTTAATAAAGCAAAGCATTTTTCTAACTACTGGCGTAGCTACAAAGTCAGGAGTTTTGCTAATAAGGGGAACTGTATCGGCAGCATCATTTCAGATAATCTGGCATTTGAAATGCAGTTTCAACTTCCCACGCATTATCGTAAACACAACTCCACTAATGCCAAATGCTTCCTCTCAAAATTATCCTATGAGACTGAGCTGCTGTTTTATCCCAGATAAGGATACTCTATTTGAGCTAGAAGGGTACTGGGCCCACAGAAACAAGCAGCTTGCCCTTTTCATTGAAAAAACATGCCATCATATTTAGGAATTTACTTAACAGAGATTCAAGGTATTTAAAGAAACCATTACTAATTACCACAAAAGACCAGAACAGAGACCATTTACTGTGCTCAGCAATTCATGTAAGAGCCATTACGGTAGTTTGTCCACGTACCATCTGCTTCGCTATCTGCGTCAGTCACATCTGCTAGTTTAGGACGGGATGGCTGCAAATTATGCCTCTGAGGCCGAGTTACAATCTTCGATGAAACACAGGCCACAGGGTTGCTACTGAGAGAAGCTGGTGGCAGTCCAGAGAGGCTGTTACGCATCATCTTTGACCTCTGCACTGCCACGCTATAATCTGGAGGTTTTAGGTGCGTGTGGGGTCCTTCTTTTAGGTCCGCTAAAGAAATCCCCATATATCCTGGAGGAGTGGGAGGTGGCTCCCTATACCTATCGTCCTTCTTGGGTGAGGTGACACAGTACACTGGCATAAAAAATAAGCAATGGAAATGTTAATGAAAAATATAAGAAATGAAAAAAACATTGAAACTTATTACAATGACAAAACAGAACTTAAAAAACAGACAAAATGAATAAATTTGAATGGCAGTAGATTAAAAACATTTTTAAAAAGTTTAATGAACTTAGTATTTAAACCTGTTTTTAAAATACATAAGCTATATTAAGGTCTATAAACATTAACTATAACAAGAGAGAGTTGAAGGAGATGACCGCTGAGTGCTCGTGTCACAGAGAGCGCCAACAACTCCTGAAGTGACCCCAACCTTAGAGAGGACTGAGTCAGAAACATTGAAAAGTTCACCCTAAACATCCATTTTCTATTAACTGAGAGAGTTTTCACAGAGGCAATGTTTGGGCCGTCTGTTGAAGGGCTGTTTCACCCTGTCCCTGAGACACGAACCAGTTTCCTGGCACTCCTGGGCAAACTCGTTCTCGGTGCTGATACAGAAACAACTTAACTTTCCTGGTACAGAGGAACCAATTCCTTCAAGAATCTTACTTCTAACTTCTGCACTGTGATTAAGTAGGGAAGAAAAAACCGTAATTCTAGGAAATTCATCTCAAATTAAATTTCTCTGATTTTCAGTGAACATTAAAAATAATGGTGACTTTAAATCCTTTTCCCTAAATCTGTAAGCCTAAGGAAAAGCTACAGAAGGCATCGGAAATAGGTTAGAGAGGAAGTTCTGTGAAATCAAGACCAAGCCACAGGACCCACAGGGCAATGGCTCTGAGTATCCTGATCATGCAAGAGACTTTTAAAACACAAAAAATGCCTACATACAAGCAGAATATATTTAAAAATACCATTAAATAATTCTAACACTCTTTCACCCATTAGAGAATTAGGTTTGTCCAGATTGAAATTTTTACAATGCTACCAGTAAAATTTGCATGTACTATCAAAGTCAGCAAGGATTTCCATTCCCACATGAGGAGAGGCTGCACCGGGCAGCTGGTGGTGGAGAGGCTGTCAAGAGCAACACGACAAAAATGAAGAATGTAAGCGATCTGCCCAGAGTCACCCAGAAATGAAGAATTTAAAAAAATCTATATTCCAGCCGGGCGCGGTGGCTCACGCCTGTAATCCTAGCTCTCTGGGAGGCTGAGGTGGGCAGATTGTTTGAGCTCAGCAGTTCGAAACCAGCCTGAGCAAGAGCGAGACCCCGTCTCTACTAAAAATAGAAAGAAATTAATTGGACAACTAAAAATACATAGAAAAAATTAGCCGGGCATGGTGGCGCATGCCTGTAGTCCCAGCTACTCGGGAGGCTGAGGCAGAAGGATTGCTTGAGCCCAGGAGTTTGAGGTTGCTGTGAGCTAGGATGACGCCACGGCACTCTAGCCCGGGCAACACAGTGAGACTCTGTCTCAAAAAAAAAAAAATGTCTTGTCCATTGGGAATATAGATTTTTTTTTTTTTGAGACAGAGTCTCACTGTGTTGCCCGGGCTAGAGTGCCGTGGCGTCATCCTAGCTCACAGCAACCTCAAACTCCTGGGCTCAAGCAATCCTTCCACTTCACCCTCCCGGGTAGCTGGGAGAACAGGTGTGTGCCATGACACCTGGCTAATTTTTCTAGTTTTAGTAGAGGCAGAGTCTTGCTCTTGCTCAGGCTGGGCTCTGGACTAACTCCTGAGCTTAAAGGATCCTCCCGCCTCAGCCTCCCAGAGTTCTAGGACTATAGGCATAAGCCACTGTGCCCGGCCTCCTAAAAGGCTTTAACAACAACAACAAAATCCTTGGAAAAAACGAATGAGCTAAAAACCCAACGTATTATGCAATTTGACAAGTAGCTATAAAATCGGCACATTTCTCTTTTTCGTTTTTAGTAATTAAATGTGACATCATGAATATTCTTTAGAATTAGGAGTTGATTATGATAATATATATTCAAAATATGGTCATTCCACATAAGTAGAAAAGCAGGGGCTATTATATCCAAGTATTTATACAATTCAGGGAAGAAATGGGAAAAAAAGTATTCGATGGCTAAATAGTAAAAGAATACACTAAGAAAGCTTAGAATGGAATCCACGAACAGGAGTTGGGATCCTCAGCATGCACACCGGCAGGGTATACTGAAAAATGTTTTGGATTTCTTTATCACATCTTCCCTCACTTTTATTACCTAAAATTAATAGCGTATTCAATGTTTCTACCCTGTATGCACAGCCATTATCAAAGCAGTTTATGAGGTGGCAAAGATAAGAATCCCTTTATTACTACTGGATAGTAATGCAATGATATTCCTCAATGAAACCAAAAGGATCTTAAAAACAAGACAAGACACACTTGTCCCTCTAACTGAGTATCTTCACACCAGACTTTTCATTTTAATGGCTTGAATTTCTGCTCCAAAGCCCTTGAGAAACCAGTAATTTTGGGGAAATAATTTGTTTGTGGAGGAAGTGAGGAAAGAAAGGTTGGAAAGAAATTTTTGCAATAATAAAATCCAAGACATACAATAACATTTTTTTCACCACTTAATCTCTAAATGTCAAAGAAATAACAGAAACACACAACTTACCAATCAAACCCTTTCCAGTACTAGAAGTGACAGTTTTGCACACTGCGTCAGTGGCATCCTTGGGGTCCAAGCCTTCAGACGACTCGGCTCGGGCACTCGCCCACACTCTCCGTTTCACTGTCCCATAGTTTGGTTCGTGTGTGTCAGACAGAGAACCGGACGAGGCCCAGCTCTGTCTCAACTGATTAGTCTCCAGACTTCCTCTGCACTGACCACAAGTTCTAGAGCAGCCCTGAGGACAGGGACAGGGCTCACAGTCGGTGGGTTCAACTTCAGCAATAGGGTCGTCCAAATGGGTATGTCTGTAAGAGTTCAAAAAATCCCAGCTTTTTGGGTTTGGAAGGCTTTGGAAGTTGTCGTGGGAGCTGCTCGAACAGGAAGTCCAACTTCCACGACCACTGTCGGCTGCTTCTATAATGATATGCTCATGAGAAATCTCTTCATTGCTCATAGAAGATGAGACAGCTAAACCGTTGATGGGAGATGGCTTTGAGAGTGTCCATCTAGAATTGGAGACAATACACAATTAATCTACTGGATTACTGTAAAAACTTTCTTCTCTGTTTCAAGTTATTACTGCCTGTAAGAAACTACAGAACATGTACCATAAACGTTCATGCCCGAATAGTCTTGTGAAAAAAAAATGACACTACCATTAATCATTACAAAACTCCTTATTAGCATTAATGTTAATACTCAGCTAGACATACACTAAAGAAACTCAAATATTTAGCAAGGTTTCTTCAGAATTTGCCTTTTTTAAGAAGTATTTATCTGGTTTTTTTGACATGGGGTCTTGCTACATAGCCCAGGCTGGAGTGCAGTGGCTATGCACAGTGTGCCCATTGCTCACTGCAGCCTCAAACTCCTGGGCTCAAAAGTTGTCTTCCTGCTTCAGCCTCCTCAAGAGCTGGGACTACAGCCACTGCACACAGTAAAAATTTTTCTTGAATTGATTTTAAATGAAAATGCAAAGGTGAGGTTTGAAATGAATAAAATTAAGTACACATTTTCATTTTTTTTTAAAAAAAAATTTTAAGCCAAATTTAGTAGTGGGGGGTTGTATACCAACTTCAGTAACGCTAATGTTAATAGGTTCTGATAACCCGCTACCGTCGGACCAGTACGTTTTCACTCTTGGTCGGCGTACACTAGATTGCTCATTCTCCACGTGCACAGTTGAGAAGTCCCCATTTGAGGAGCCACGTTTGTATTTTTTCTGTGCCTCGGAGGTCAGCCCAGCACAGTGCCACATAAACAGCAACTCCCTCAACCCCCCACTAAAGAAACCCTG